TCATCGATCTTGTTCTGTACATAGACCTTCTCCTTCTGGTCACGAGAGAATGCGGGATGAAGCTCAGTGATGGCACCCTCCTTAACGAAACCATCGAGCTCGTTACCGAAGATGTAATCCTTACTCTGATGACGGCAACCATAGAAGAGCCACATGGGACCAGTCTGGATGCCCTGACGCTTCATCCAAGCACGCTCCTGAGAGAAGGCGCGGAAGGGAGCAAGACCAGTACCAAGGCCAGCCATGATCATAGGTGTCATCGGGCTCTCGGGGAACTTGAAGCTACCAGAAGTGATAGTGGCGGTAGTGCTCTGGCCCGGCACGATACGCTGAATATAATCGGTAGCAGTACCAGTTCTTCGGACACCAGAGGCAGTAGTCCAGTTAACAATCACAACAGCAAGCTCGATGGCCTTAGGACCAACGAACCTCGGGGAACTAGCAATGGAATAGAGCCTAGGCTTAGTGCAAGGGATGAGAGTGATCAACTGATCAAGAGAAGGACGCGCACTGGTGTACTTATTGAGGATATCAGCGAAGGTCACAGTCTCACCAGCCAGCTTGGTGTACATATCACGACCCTTGGTATCATCGGGGTTGCCGATCAACGCCAGCTCGGCCTTTTCCTTGGGATCCTCAGCGAACTTGGACAGAGTCTTGTAGAAAGCCCTGTTGGGGCGACCGAAGATGTCCAAAGACTCCTCGAAGAGCTGGGAGATAGTACGGGGACGGAGAGAAGCAGCGCGCTTGCGGGCATCGATGTTCTCGGATACAGGAGTGATCTTAACCATCTCCGAGGGGTTGAGACCATAAGACTGAAGGAAAGCACTAACTCTGCCAGACTCGTTCATGGGGTGGATGTTGAGGACATCACCAAGAAGATAGGGAAGATCCTGACCATCCTCCAATTCGAAGCGCAAATGACGAATATCCCTCTCGTAGTCGCTGGGAGTGAGACGATCGTTCTTCTTCAAACCAAGCTGAATAGTTTGAGGAGGCATGATCCTCTCATAAGGAGCAACCACGACTTCATCAGAGTCAAGCTCACGAACCTCGAACTGAGAGTCGGGAATGGACCCGTCATCAACAGGCTCAGGGGCATTCACAGACTTCCAATAACTCGGCATCCAATCCTCAAAGGCAGTCTCATACTTGTCCTCATCCTGATCGTTACCGAGACCAATGGCAACTGTCCTTTGACCGCCCATCTGAGCGAAGATATCGTCAATTCTCTTGGCAGCAGTGCAGAAGTGATGATAACTGGAGTCACCCAAAGCAAAGACACCGTAT